TGTTGATGTGTAGATCGAGGTGTCTCTCCCTTATGATGCCGTATTGTTGATGTGTAGATCGAGGTGTCTCTCCTTATGATGCCGTATTGTTGATGTGTAGATCGAGGTGTCTCTCCTTATGATGCCGTATTGTTGATGTGTAGATCGAGGTGTCTCTCCTTATGATGCCGTATTGTTGATGTGTAGATCGAGGTGTCTCTCCTTATGATGCCGTATTGTTGATGTGTAGATCGAGGTGTCTCTCCTTATGATGCCGTATTGTTGATGTGTAGATCGAGGTGTCTCTCCTTATGATGCCGTATTGTTGATGTGTAGATCGAGGTGTCTCTCCTTATGATGCCGTATTGTTGATGTGTAGATCGAGGTGTCTCTCCTTATGATGCCGTATTGTTGATGTGTAGATCGAGGTGTCTCTCCTTATGATGCCGTATTGTTGATGTGTAGATCGAGGTGTCTCTCCTTATGATGCCGTATTGTTGATGTGTAGATCGAGGTGTCTCCTTATGATGCCGTATTGTTGATGTGTAGATCGAGGTGTGTCTTATGATGCCTTATGATGCCGTATTGTTGATGTGTAGATCGAGGTGTCTCTCCTTATGATGCCGTATTGTTGATGTGTAGATCGAGGTGTCTCTCCTTATGATGCCGTATTGTTGATGTGTAGATCGAGGTGTCTCTCCTTATGATGCCGTATTGTTGATGTGTAGATCGAGGTGTCTCTCCTTATGATGCCGTATTGTTGATGTGTAGATCGAGGTGTCTCTCCTTATGATGCCGTATTGTTGATGTGTAGATCGAGGTGTCTCTCCTTATGATGCCGTATTGTTGATGTGTAGATCGAGGTGTCTCTCCTTATGATGCCGTATTGTTGATGTGTAGATCGAGGTGTCTCTCCTTATGATGCCGTATTGTTGATGTGTAGATCGAGGTGTCTCTCCTTATGATGCCGTATTGTTGATGTGTAGATCGAGGTGTCTCTCCTTATGATGCCGTATTGTTGATGTGTAGATCGTATTGTTGAGGTGTCTCTCCTTATGATGCCGTATTGTTGATGTGTAGATCGAGGTGTCTCTCCTTATGATGCCGTATTGTTGATGTGTAGATCGAGGTGTCTCTCCTTATGATGCCGTATTGTTGATGTGTAGATGATGGTAGTCGAGGTCTCCTTATGATGCCGTATTGTTGATGTGTAGATCGAGGTGTCTCTCCTTATGATGCCGTATTGTTGATGTGTAGATCGAGGTGTCTCTCCTTATGATGCCGTATTGTTGATGTGTAGATCGAGGTGTCTCTCCTTATGATGCCGTATTGTTGATGTGTAGATCGAGGTGTCTCTCCTTATGATGCCGTATTGTTGATGTGTAGATCGAGGTGTCTCTCCTTATGATGCCGTATTGTTGATGTGTAGATCGAGGTGTCTCTCCTTATGATGCCGTATTGTTGATGTGTAGATCGAGGTGTCTCTCCTTATGATGCCGTATTGTTGATGTGTAGATCGAGGTGTCTCTCCTTATGATGCCGTATTGTTGATGTGTAGATCGAGGTGTGTCTCCTTATGATGCCGTATTGTTGATGTGTAGATCGAGGTGTCTCTCCTTATGATGCCGTATTGTTGATGTGTAGATCGAGGTGTCTCTCCTTATGATGCCGTATTGTTGATGTGTAGATCGAGGTGTCTCTCCTTATGATGCCGTATTGTTGATGTGTAGATCGAGGTGTCTCCTTATGATGCCGTATTGTTGATGTCTTAAAGATCGAGGTGTCTCTCCTTGATTATGATGTCTGTATGATGCCGTATTGTGTAGATCGATCGAGTGTCTCTCCTTATGATGCCGTATTGTTGATGTGTAGATCGAGGTGTCTCTCCTTATGATGCCGTATTGTTGATGTGTAGATCGAGGTGTCTCTCCTTATGATGCCGTATTGTTGATGTGTAGATCGAGGTGTCTCTCCTTATGATGCCGTATTGTTGATGTGTAGATCGAGGTGTCTCTCCTTATGATGCCGTATTGTTGATGTGTAGATCGAGGTGTCTCTCCTTATGATGCCGTATTGTTGATGTGTAGATCGAGGTGTCTCTCCTTATGATGCCGTATTGTTTGATGTGTAGATCGGTGTCTCTCCTTATGATGCCGTATTGTTGATGTGTAGATCGATATTGATGCCGTATTGTTGATGTAGATCGGTGTCTCTCCTTATGATGCCGTATTGTTGATGATGTAGATAGGTGTCTCTCCTTATGATGCCGTATTGTTGATGTGTAGATCGAGGTGTCTCTCCTTATGATGCCGTATTGTTGATGTGTATGATGCCGTATTGTGTGTCTCTCCTTATCGGTGTGATCGAGGTGTTCTGCCGTATTATGATCCTTATGATGCCGTATTGTTGATGTGTAGATCGAGGTGTCTCTCCTTATGATGCCGTATTGTTGTTAGATCGTGTCTCTCCCTTATGAGGTGTCTCTCCTTATGATGCCGTATTGTTGATGTGTAGATCGAGGTGTCTCTCCTTATGATGCCGTATTGTTGATGTGTAGATCGAGGTGTCTCTCCTTATGATGCCGTATTGTTGATGTGTAGATCGAGGTGTCTCTCCTTATGATGCCGTATTGTTGATGTGTAGATCGAGGTGTCTCACCTTATGATGCCGTATTGTTGATGTGTAGATCGAGGTGTCTCACCTTATGATGCCGTATTGTTGATGTGTAGATCGAGGTGTCTCTCCTTATGATGCCGTATTGTTGATGTGTAGATGAATGTGTCTCACCTTATGATGCCGTATTGTTGATGTGTAGATCGGGTGTCTCACCTTATGATGCCGTACTGTTGATGTTCAGCGGTGTCTCACCTCTATGATGCCGTATTGTTGATGTGTACATGTAGATCTTATGATGCCGTACTGTTGACGATTATTCAGAGGTGTCTCACCTCTATGATGCCGTATTGTTGATGTTATATCGAGGTGTCTTGCCTTATTAGGCCGTACTGTTGATGTGTATATGACGTTGTCTCTCCTTATGATGCCGTACTGTTGATTTGTAGATCGAGGTGTCTCTCCTTATGATGCCGTGTTGTTGATGTGTAGATCGATGTGGCTTTCCTTATGAAGCCGTATTGTTGATGTTTAGATGAAGGTGTCTCTCCTTATGTCGTATCGTTGATTTGTAGATAAAAGCGTCTCCCCTGGTGACATCTCTCAGAAGGTCTGTGGTTCGAATCCCAGCACGTGAATCGGAAATTTTATGGCAGCTACATTGGCGCCCAACATGGGGCCTGAGCACGCTCATATGAAATTTGAGCAACATAAGTCTCAGTACCCTGCTATGCGGCCGGGGACGTGTCTTCTGTTGACGGGGACATCAACAATACGGCATCATAAGGAGAGACACCACGATCTACGCATAAAAAATATGGCATCATAAGGAGAGACACCTTCATCTACACATCAACAATACGGCATCATAAGGAGAGACACCTCGATCAACACATCAACAATACGGCATCATAAGGAGAGACACCTCGATCTACACATCAACAATACGGCATCATAAGGAGAGACACCTCGATCTACACATCAACAATACGGCATCATAAGGAGAGACACCTCGATCTACACATCAACAATATGGCATCATAAGGAGAGACACATTCATCTACACATCAACAGTATGGCATATCCCACAGATGACTTCCTTACCTTGTTAGCTTACTGGCGGGCGTTTACCTCTTTGGTCATGTGGACAAGGCGTCCGATTTCGGATTGAAAGGTCCATGGTTCCAATCCGAGCACGGGACTCGGACATTTTATGGCCGCAACATGTAGATCGAGGTGTCTCTCCTCCTGATCCCGTATCGTTGATGTTAAGAGCGAAGTGTCTCTCCTACTGATCTCGTATCGTTGATGTTTAGAGCGAAGTGTCTCTCCTCCTGATCCCGTATTGTTGATGTTTAGAGCGAAGTGTCTCTCCTACTGAATCCGTATCGTTGATGATTAGATCGAGGTGTCTCTCCTTCTGACCCCATATCGTTGATATTTAAAGCGAGGTGTCTCTCCTCCTGATTCCGTATCGTTGATGTTTATGTAGAGCGAAGTATCTCTCCTTCTGATCACGCATTGTTGATGTTTAGAGCGAGGTGTCTCTTCCCCTAATCCCGTATCTTTGATGTTTAGATCGAGGTATCTTTAGGGGATAACTGTACTCTGTTTGACGAATTGGGGACGTATACCGGTGGTTATATAGCCGCAAATTTAGTTATATCGGAGACGCGCAAGCGCAATTCGTCAAACACGGTACAGTTATCCCCATTCTAATTCAACTCGTTTCACGCTGTATTTTCGTGAAAGAAATTCATTATTTAAACCAGGTCAAAGTTCCTCTAGGTCAAAGGTTATCATATCACTCCTTGAACTTACACCATCGCCAGCAAAAGTAGTTCCCTATTCAAGCTTCAACACGTTATTATGTGCACACTGTCTAAATCTGACAATGATGAATGAATCATAGTGTTATAGATAAAATGGAGGGATTTATGATGAAACCACTCTCTAGTTATCAGAAATGAGCGGCCCTCTGATTCCTCAACTCCGGGCTATCTGTTCTGTTGTGAAATGATAGCAGGTGACGTCACGCTCCATAATGACGTCATAATCTTGTTTCATGATCTAACAGTGTTGGGTCAACAGCCCGTTGCGAGTAAGTTGTTTGAACTTAAAATTAAATTTATGATACTGTTTTGTCTTTTTTTAACACACATTCCACCCATTTTAGCTGGATAGGGGAGTTAATTGGCCAAGGACTTCTGCAAATAACAATGCCCTGATAAACAGCGTTACCCCAATTGTGTAGGAATACATTCAAAGGTTTTGGTGAATCGGTTTTCAAATTGCGACCGTATATGCTGATTATACGGTCGGAAATTTATAGCATTGACCAATCAGAACTCGTGTTACATACTAAGTTGAATAAGAATTGCTTTTGATTCCTGTTTGTTTATGTGTAGATCGATGTGTCAGCACAAGACCAGGGAGTGCCATCGCTGAAGACGACACTGCCGATGATGGTGAGACTACTGGACATCGATGACAATGATCCGTATTTCCCCATGAGACAGAAAGACATCACAATACCAGAAGAAAGGACCGGGTGTTTTGGTAATTTGTCCTGGCAGAGGACAAAGATGAAGGGGAGAACAACACGAGAAAATGTTATACCATACGGAGTAAGTAACGCTCAACACACACACACACACGCACACACACGCATGCACGCACACACACATGCGTACATTGTTTGGTATAGAGATGGAATTATTCTACAGTATTAACTGACTACCTATATATTGTTAATGACAGGGTTTTGTGTTTTGATCTGTGCAAATACACTAAACGCGAAAAAGAAACGTTGACGGAGGTACCTATCTTCAGCTGGCGTTGTGATGCGTTGACGTCCACTTCTTGGTCTGTCTACGGTGATCCCAGTCTGTCTGAAGCCCTGAATAAGTCATACAACCATGATACGGTGGCATCCGTGGGCGTTGGCAACAACATTGTATGTCGACCCCATCTGCACCATCCCAATGGTTCTTTCTCTCGATTCAGCTATTAATCGTGGCATATTTCTCGTACTTGTGTATCAGATCATGTCTTCTAGGCTCTCTTTATATCCTATAGAATCATTCTGCATGTGAAATGGATGTAAATTCTGTTTGAATATTGCTGCGTTTTGGCGATTGGTATTGCAATGTGTAAAATGGAAATGGAAATGGAAAAATGTTACTTTGCAAGCACCTAAACATTTTTTCACAATATCAAAGACACATTTTACTTGTTTTCACTAATGCAAATCAGCAGAAAATGTTTTAAAAGACTGAAATCATAGCAATGATTATTTTACAATTTTAAACACACTCTACAACAGTTGTTTCTTGTTTTAATAGTTCAAAAATGGTGACTTTAAAAGGTTTATCATTGTCCCAAAAAAGAATCTTATTTCAGCCTTTCTTTTGGACATCGAAATCACTATTATTGGTTTATTTCGGCGTGGACGAATATAGGACAATTTAACCCTTCTGAAAAAGATGCATTTCACCCAAATATGAATGCATTTGAGAATTTCTTTTCGTGATTTGCATAAAGCTGTGTTGTTAAGCTTTCTTGTAAACTAAAGCCTTCTAAAATATCGTTGATAGTTTTTCAGTAATTCATAAAGGTAGGAGGGTAACGTTTCTTTTGGCGTCTAGTGTATGTACGTGAAATGCTAGTTCTGACAAAAAGAGGTTAATTCCATGCGTTTAATGTTCTTAATTAATAATGCCCATAGGAATATTGCTATTTACAGACGTAAAATCATCCGCACTAGAATTATTGTAGTCATAACCCGCTACCATTTGCAGGTTGTATTGGTCGATAGAAATGTAAATGTTGTCTCTTGACAATATTTACTTATTCGTGCGGGTTACATAATCATAGATTTGTTATCTTAGAATTTGAGGAAAAGTTCTGTTAGACCTGCTTGTCACGTCGAAGACCCGGGTTCGATTCCCCACATGTGCACAATGTGTGAAGCCCATTTCTGGTGTTCCCCGCCGTGATATTGCTGAAATATTGCTAAAAGCGTCGTAAAACCCAACTCACTCACTCACTCTGTTAGACCTGTGAGCATGCTCCAGTTGTGAGAAGGTATCATTTGTGTAACCTAATTAGGCCATGCTTCATCCCTCACATAACGAAGATGGTTCTGATCTCATCGTTGTCTGTTTGTATTAACAAGATCTATAATCGTAAAACTTTGATTACGCTTACGGTTTTAATATATGTTGTAGTAATAAATGATTTATTAACATAATTGACGTATAATCATATCTGAACACAAAAGTAATTGTACAGTTGTTCTCCAGGTGGTGATCAAAATGAAACCAGATATTTCTCTCTGAACAAGACAACTGGGCAGCTATGTCTCGATCAGAAGTTGGACAGAGAAACAAAGGACTTAATAAACCTGCTTATCAAGGTATCCAAGGATTGTTCCCTGAATGGGTCACCGCAAGATCCCTTCAATCCATCTTACAACAAAAGTGACAATTCTCTTCTCCACGTCCTGGTGGTCGTTGAGGACATCAATGACAACCCACCAGTGTTCGCGGATGACGGACAGCTTTCTACAGGCATTCTGTATGACGTCAACGTAGAGGAGTTGGTGTATGATCTTAAGGTCAGTAGACTTCTAACACCACTCAATCACCTTTACACGCAATGATTAGACCCGTGAAGATCCGGGTTAGAATGGGTGTTCAGCAATCCATTCTTATCATAAGAGGCGACTAATGGGACTGGGTTGACACGTGTCACCTTAACCGATTTTGAGCACTGGTTGTCTGGTCAAGACTCAATTATTTATAGACCGCCGTCATAAAACTGGAATATTGCAAACAAACAGAAAATACACTGATTTATCAGCGCCCTCCTATCTGTATATGGGGAATCAGCCAGATCCCTGTTTCACAAAGCTTCTTTTGCATTACTGAAGTCGCACGGCAGTGAGAAATGACGTGAGTTACAATATTCGTAGGGTGACAACGCTGAGTGAGGTTTGGCCGTTTCTGTATATAACTGTTCTGACTATTCTTTTTCGGCAGGAAATCGAGGCTTTGAGTGACGTTTTGATTCTTCAGACTCGTATAATCAGCATACAGTTACATATTTCTGTAAATGTCTCTTCACAGACTGACGTCTCAGACAAAGATATAGGCTCCAACGCAATAGCCTATTTCCGGGTCCTCAGCCAAAACATTCATGGAATTGACGACCTGAACACCCCAGAGCCGTTCGCAGTCGACATCAACGGCACAGTAGTCACTAAAACGCTGTTTTCGTCGTCCATGTTGGGCCATGTGGAAATTGCAATACAAGCCTATGAGAATGGCACCGACCACACCGCTAATGCCACACTTACGGTAACATTATCTGGTTTATACAACAAACATTTAACAGCTGGTGGTTTGAGTTAGGTAGAGAGACATATTTGTTGAAAAACGAGTTGGGTAGTGTTTGGGTAACATGGACCCGGGATCGAATGTTTACATGGGTAGAATTTGTGAAGCCAAGTTCTGGTGTCCCAAGTTACAGATGGAAGGTATATAAACATTCTCACACACTCTTTGTTGATGAATTTCTAATCGTTGTGTTTTTAGTGACTAGTGTTTAAATAACACGAGGTAGATATGATCGATCGTTTACACGCAGGAAATACAAACATGAATATACAATGCCTTTTAGAAAGTGGTCAAACATGTTATATCTGGGATGCCACTTTCTCAGTGAAGTACAAATTCTAGTGTGTTTAGTTGTGCCACATACGGGATTCGAACCCACCCTCTCAAAGTTTGGCACTAATCGCCAACACACTGTCAGTAATCAAACCTATCTAGTCAACACAGCCCCCACACAAAGTGGAACCAAAACATGTCCTGGAATTTGTACTTTATTGAGAAAGTGTAATTCCAAATAGTACGTATGTTACAATTGAACACTTTCTAAGAGGCATCGGATATTCATAGCTTCGTCCATAGGAGTCGTGCCAATTTACCCTTGTCAGAGGGGTACACATAATCTAGCCAGTTGGAAACAAACAAAAACAAACCCAGTCATAAACGGTATCTCGGCACTTAATGTTTACCCGATGTTTGAAAGATTATGTAAACAAACATTTATGCAAGAAATGTATCACTATAGAATACATGGGGAGATTCAGTCAGGTGAAGTATTCCTAGGCTAAAGGTAACTTTAGCGAAAGGAAATGTTTCTTAAACTTCGAGCATGTACGAATGATATTACGGATATACATGGTGACGAAAGTATTAACAACGTATTGTGTCGGTGTAATTGCAGTAACTGTTAACTGCGAGATGAACACACATGCCATTTAGAAAGTGGTCAAATGTAACACGTTATATTTGGGATTACACTTTCTAAATGGCATGTGTGTCCATAGCTTTCGGCCGTGAGAGCCGTGCCAATTTACAGTTATAGATCAGAGGGGTACACAAAAACCGTGGTCCAGACTACCAGTTGTCCTACTACCAATTTTGTGGAAAACCCGGTGGCTGAGTGGGTTAGACGGTTGACTTTGTGTACTGGTGATTAGGTGCCTGATTCTGAGTTTGTGGGTTCGAATCCCAGATGGTACACAACCCAAGACAAGGACTAGAGTCTGTACTTTACTGAGAAAATGTCATCCCAAATATAGCGTGTTATAACTGTTAGAATGATGATGTTACATAAAATAATTCCACATAGTAGGGAAACCAAGTGGCGTCAATAAAACTTGAATAAAACTCCCAGTATACCCTTAGTCAAGTCTTGCTTAAAACCACCTGACAATTATCATTACAGGTGTATATCATCAGCAACGTCCAGAGGGTGAAAATAATATTCAACTCACTGCCAGAAGAGGTCCAGGGGATCAAATCTGAATTCATAAGGTATACCTGATCATATTCATGGTATGGGCCACTGTTATAAACCGTTCACAAGTGGTATTAACAACGGTGAATACAAAATGGTCTGTTACTTATTGTATGCCCCGAGAAGTTGTTTCGTAAACGGGGTTACACTTATTGTATTACATGTGGCATGTTTCTTCAAAGTTTAGTTTAATTTTGTATCATTGTTACATTTGGTTTTGTGGCATGTAATAACTAATTCATCGTCATTTACAGTAAGCTGGAGAATCTGTTGAAGTTCGAAGTCGTTGTAGACAAGATAGCAACGCACGAGGCTGCTGATAAAACCACAGATGAAACGAAGTAAGTACCAACTCCACATATAACAGTGTTCCTGCAAGGATTTCCTATCCTCAGCAACTCATATGATTGCATGAGCGTTTTATTGATTTACTGTCAAAGCAAATATGCATTGACCTGAAAGGATATACAAATATAATGGATAATGATGAATTTATACGTTTCTGTCCTTCACTTTACAGGACCGACATGTTTGTCCACGCTATGAGGAACGACAGTACGAAGGAAATTGTTCCAGCGACGGAGCTGTGGAGGTGAGTCAGCTTTAATTCATTCTTTTGAATGTTAGGATGTTCTCTTTATGGAATAATTAACATTGTTCAAAGCACAATGTCACACATTTTCGACAATATTTTGGCCTATATCCCTTACGACCTGCCTGAAATCGATAATTGAAACTCCGAGGCGAACAGCTTCCAAACAGAGAACACTTGCCATATATGGAATGTAAATAATTGCTCCGTACATCGAACACTGTCGCACGCGGAGTTATCGGTGTTTGCCGAACTGGTTTCAATCACAAGTTGTGCGTACTAGGATATTCGTAAAGAGCGCTCCAAGGGACATAACTCTATGGGGTTCCCTTGAAAAAATATTCGGTCGGTAGAGGACGCGAGAGTCGATATAATGCAACGTTGCATAAATTCATTCGAGCATTTTAATTTAATATTGTAATCTAAATACCTAATGTTATTTTTTATAAATTATTTGGTAGCTTCCCTGATAGTTAGTTTTATTGTGAGAAATGCATTACTTACTTTTAGAGAAGTGTGGTGTGATATAGTGCCTTTAAGTGTTGAAACCCACTGTCGTGTGTAATCCACTCTGGACGATCAATGCATATAATATGTGTTTCAATCCTCTTTCTCCACATTTACAAGCTTTTCGATCTGTGTATTTTTAATCCTTTAAAATGATTGATGCGTCAGCACGTTTGTGTAACTGTTGGATCTGAGTAACATCGTTACTAACTTGTGGTACACCGGTCAAACAACATGACTTTCATGAAATCATGCACTGCATATTTCAGGGCATTTGATTTCACTGTTGGTGTGGCAGAGCTGTTTCAACAGTACAAGGTCATGGAGTCACGGGTAAATCGGAGTGTTCATTCTGTGTGTGATTGGAAATCTATGTCAAATGAAGAGTGAAATTCAACAGACCCTCATTGTAACTTGCTGTATATGGATAGCACTTATCTAGTACTTTGGGGAGGTGGAGTCCTCTCCGGGATGCGAGCCCCTACTCACAGAGTTGGGCACTTAATTACCAGCACGAAAGGTAGGGGATCGAACCCACCCAGACCCCGAGGCTGTCACAAAAATGGAAGCCTGGCAACTTGTAGTTCAGATCACGGACAGTATGTAGGCTTCTGACAGTGTAACTGTATTCCGATCTTCATCGATTGTTACAGATCAAATTACATGCACTAGGCACCGTACCGTTGATGACACGGGGTACAAAAACATTCAGGCGCTTGTATATTTTATAGCTTAAACCATTATTTCGTTTCTCGATAAATCTCCACTTCCAGAACATACTCACCAAACTACCAAGAACTTCCTAATGTCCACGGCAGTCTATCACCTACATTTACTGTATGTTTCTGTAGACCATGCTCACCAAATTATCAACTATTGCATCAATGTGTATAAGTTTCACTTTTACTACTGTCTACAGTAGTTCTGTTTTCTTCCTTTGTACAGCCTGTTGTGGATCAACTAGCAACAGACGACACGTTGACAAGGACGCTGACAATGACCCTGATTCTTGTTGCTGTTATCCTTGGTCTCATAGCCATATCTCTGGCCTTAGCGCTGTATTGCATCAGAGCAAAGTGAGTACACCGTCAGCTGACGTCTGCTCCGTCAGTCTTCTTCCAACGCAATAAATGTAGTATACTTGCCTTATTTGATCGACAAAGATTACTACATCACCACTAAGCATGCACAGTGTTTGGATGGGGGGGCAACTTTGAAAACCCAGGGTTGTGTTCAACTGATTATGTAACTAGGGGGTCGTAGTTTGACGACTGTGTTCATCCAGTGTAGTGAACTGGCGTGTGCTAATTACGAAGTCATGGCGGTGCGGTCACTTAGTGAGGTTTAAGCAGTGGTCAGGTGTTGGCCAATAAGATATATCTGTCTTGATATCACGATATGGAAGAACAGGGATTTATCATCTATATATCGCTTTTCCCCATTCGAGTTAAAACAGTGCCACTAGTGACAGCATGACTTCCGTTTCAAAGATGTCACAGATCTTCACGTTTAGATTACTCATTTTGATAATGATATGTGTCACGTGTCACAGGTACATCCGACGGCTTCGCGCTGAAACCACGGCAGTCAGTAAGTATCAAGCTGTACACGGATTCTCCACACTGTCTAGTTGTTGTTTTACCGTTGCTTATAGATAATAGACGTAACAAAACTCCATTCTGTTTATAGATATCTGGAAAACGCATGTTGGAAACATGTAAATGACATTGTACAATGTCCACAGTTCGCATACAGTCTTGGCGGATCCAGTGTGTGTGTGTGTGTGTGTGTGTGTGTGCGTGCGTGTGTGCGTGCGTGCGTGTGCAGGGGTGCGCACCCCTCCCCTTTTTTGTCCTGAAAGGTTATGAAATCATAGGTGGATCCATTTGGTATCATGTGAAATGTAAAAAACGTAATTATTATTAACTGTATGTTAACATGTCCAAACAATACAGCACCAACGTGTATTTGATTATGGTGCACATTTCTTACTGCAACCTGAGGAAGATGTTTCTATACTGATATATCGTTCTACAGGTGTAAATCACACAGAAAAGGAAGCTGCGCCTCCAGGGACGAACTTATACACCGCGTGAGTCAACATCAATGTTACATGAGGAGGACACAATGGTCCTTATAACATATACTATGGGGAGTAAATCAGGTATATGAAGCATGTCAGGCTGGCCCATGACAGCTTGTTCACAGCAACTATCAGCACCGTCAGAGCACACAATCGGCAACTCCATATCACTTGCTTGAGATGCTGAAATATAGGACCCAGGGGAGCAACAGACGTAGTAACGATTGAATAA